TAAGTTTACACTTCACACACTGACAAAAGCATATATAATATTATAACACGTAATTGGTATAACCTTATCATTCAAAAAGATCCTTCTAACTACAAAAGTTATCAAAAAAAAAAATAGAAGTTAGTTTGTTATTGACTTTTCTTCCAAATTTGAAGTATTACTACTTCATAAAGAGTTGTCAGAGTTTATTATACCAAAGAACTTTTATAATGAACTTGAAAAGACTTTACAAAAAAATATAAATATTAGTTATATGCATTTGCAAACCAATACTCTTGACAAAAATTCATGGATTCTATTATTACCAGATTATGTTGTATATACCTTTTTTGGTGGATATTTTTTCAAACTTTCTATTATAAGAGAAGGAGAATGTTTACAGTTTTTTTGGCAAGAATTTGGTAAAGACTTTACATTCACTAATTGTAATACTCAAGGTCAAGAAACATTAGGTTTTATTTAATGATAAAAAATTATAATATAAAAAATATCTCACTTGCTTCAATCTTAGGATTCAATAAACCTACTATTATAGCAATTTTACAAAACACAGTTCATAATATTTTTTTGATTGTTTTCTTCTTCTATACCAATTTCAACTTCTCTTATATTAAAAGAAGAGGTATTAATTCGTAAACTTAAACGAAAAAGTAGTGAACTTGAACAGATTTATGAAAAAGATTTAGTTGTTAATAGAATCTAATTAAAAGAAAATGGAAAATCTTTCTTCAAAATTTATACAAGCTCTTATGATAATATATGAAGAATATAAGTCAACATATTATAATGCTAACTGAAATATCAAACGGTTAAAAACTAAAATTAGGTAACTCCAAGATAAAAGTTTCAATTTGAATAATGATATTGATCTAAACAAAAATTTTGAAAGAATAAGAAAGGAAATAGATAATATCTTAGATGAAAAGAAATTGGGATTAACAATGTTAATTAGTACAAAACAATACCTTTCTCTTATACTTTTGCATCCTTATAGTCATTGCTATAATACCAATCTTCAAGATAAGTCTTATTATGTATCTTGCATAAGTTTTAATGTTACAATTAACGTGAATTGTCAATTATATGATACAATGGATTCATATTCTAATCAATCAAAAGGTATCAATTTTTTACATCTAGTTACAGCAGTAACTTTAACAAGTAGTATTAATCATTATGCTATACAAACTGTATTAGCAGTTATAGGTATTATTACTCAAAGTTGCAAATGATTATATCATCAATATTAATCTCGAATGTTTTCTGATATTATATTAAAGGCTAAAGAATCTGCTAGATAAGCATTAAATGCTGCTATAGTTCATGCTAATACAAAAGAAAAAAAAGTTTTAACTATTAGATTTGACTATTCTTGGTTTCATTCCCGTAATGCAAAGTAAGCTAGCGGAGAATTTATTTATATAGATGAT